ACTGTATCAACACCGTGGTCTCCCTGTCTGTATCAACACCGCGTCCCCATGTACTGTATCAACACCGCCACCCCCTCCCACTGTATCAACACCCATCCCCCTGTACTGTATCAACACTGCATCCCCCCTGTACTGTATCAACACAGTGGTCCCCCTGTCTGTATCAACACTGCAGCCCCCCCCCAACTGTATCAATACCGCGTCCCCCTGTACTGTATCAACACCGCCCCCCCTTCCCCCCCTTCCGTACTGTATCATGGACCAAGCTGTTTAGCAGCAGGAGGCTTTGTGGGCCTGCCTCTGATCAGGAAGCATTCTTGTCTCCCCATTTGTCTTTTCCCGCTCTATGCTCCCATAGTTCATTTCTCTTCTCTGATGTCTCCCTCCCTCAGTCGACCTTACTGAATTCCCAACCTCAGTTACCATGGTGCTTCATGCAGTAAATCTTCTGGAGAAAAATTCTCTCTGTCCCTCATACAGATCCTTCGTGAGGTCCTGGAAAGACTTCCATGCCGCCCAGAAGGGAAAGATAATGCTTAGAAAGGCTCAAAGGGAACTTAATTTTTTTTTCCACAAAATATATTTGGATCATATCTTTCCCCTCCTCGACTCTTCCCAAACCCTTCTCATCTCCCTGTTCACCCAGTTTCATGCTCTCTCTCTCTCTCTCTCTCTCTCTCTCTCTCTCTCTCTCTCTCTCTGTTTTCCTCCCTCCCTCCTCTCTTTTAAAAACAAAAAGCACACACATACCACAAGAAGTTTGTTTTGATTTGACCAGATCTTTCTGGGTACTGGTACTGCCTTGAAGTGTGGTTTTTCTACTTCCCATGTACATTAGATCCATGTTTGTCTCTCTTAAGGTCCTCTTTGTTGTCTAGTTTTTCTAGGGTTGTGAACTGTAGGATGGTTTTTCTTTGTTTTATGTCTAAAAGCCACTTATGAGTGAGTACATATGATAATTGTCTTTCTGAGTCTGGGTAACCTCACTCAATATGATGTTTTCTAGATCCATCCATTTGCCTGCAAATTTTAAGCTGTCATTATTTTTTTCTCCTGTGTAGTACTCCATTGTGTAAATATACCACATTTTCCTTATCCATTCTTCGCTCAAGGGGCATTTAGGTTGTTTCCAGGTTCTGGCTGTGACAAATAATGCTGCTGTGAACTTAGTTAAACACTTGTTGGAATGGTGATACCGTTATTATTTAGGAATGTTTTAGCTGTCCTATTTCATTCTCTCTCTCTCTCTCTCTCTCTCTTTCTTCATGAAACTGAAGATTTTTTCCCCAATTTTTGTGAGGAATTGTTTGGGATCTTGATGGGAATTATAACTGAATCTGTAGTTTGCTTTTGGTAAGATAGCCATTTTCACAGTGTTAATCCTATCAATCCATTAGCATGGGAGATCTCTCCATCCTCTCATGCTTTATGCAATTTCTTCAGTGTTGGAAAGCTTAAATCCCCTGGTAGTAATGCCGCCAATGTAATAATTCAGATTAGAGTAAATTAGTAAATCCAGGTTTAGTCTGAGCAGAGCAAAACAACTCCTGGGTGGCCTTTGGGAAGGCAGGGGAGGAATCACATGGCAAATACGGCTGCCAGGTCTTATATAGCCTGTAAGCATAGTCTTGAGCAGCCCCAGGGAGGGGCTGACTTTCTCAGGGGCATGATTTGGAATGGGAGAAGTGAGACCAGAGGGTGGAATGGAGCCCTTAGCTGGAGAGCCCCAACAAGTGTCTTAAAGTTTTTATTAAAGAAGTCTCTTACTTGTTTCGGGTTATTCCAAGGCATTTGTTTTTGAAGCTTTTGTAAAAGGTGATTGTTTCATTGATTTCTTTATCAGAATGTTTGTCATTTGTATACAGGAAGGCTTCTCATTTTTGTGTGTTAATTTTATGTCCTGCTACTTTGCTGAAGGTGTTTATCAGCTGTAGAAGTCTCCTGGTAGAGTCTTTGGGGGTCTTTTATGCATAAAATCATATGATCTGCAGAGAAGAATACTTTGGCTTCTTCCTTTTCTATTTGTGTCCTCTTGATCTCTTTCAGTTTTCATTTTTGAAAGTCTCTAGCTAAGGCTTCGAGTACCACATTGAATAGGAATAGAGAGAGTGAACTTTGTCTTGTTCCTTGTTTTAATGGAAATGCTGGGAGCTCTCTCTGTTTATGGTAATTTGGCTGTGGGCTCGCTATAAATTTCCTTTCTTATGTTCTGCCCCTTGTATCCCTAGTCTCGTTGAAATAACCATGTTGTGTCTGTCCTTGAGTCCTTTTGTTTTGTGGATGACTTTACTGACTCACATGTGCTGAACTAGTCCTGCATCCCTGGAATAAAGGTCACTTTATTATGATGGATAATCTTTTGACAAGTTCTTGAATTCAATTTGCGAGTATTTTATTGAGAATTTTTGCATCTATGTTCATAAGGGATATCGACTTATAATTTTCTTTTTTGTTTGTTGGGTCTTAATGGTTTTGGTATCATGGAAATAGTGGCTTTGTGAAAAGAATTAAGTAATGTCCCTGCAGTTTGTGTTTTGCAGAATAATTTGAGGAATGTTGGCATTAGTTTGATGGTCTGGTAGAATTCTTCTCTGAACCCATCTGGCTTTGGGCTTTTTCAGTTAGATTTTAAATTACTGCTTCTATTTCATTTAGGATTATGGGTCTCTTTAAATTATTTATTTCCTCTTGATTTGACTTTGGTAGGCCATATATGTTAAGAAATTCATCCATTTCTTTTAGCTTTTTCCAGTTCGGAATACAGGTTTCGATAGTATGCATATTTAGTTTCTATAGTCCTATGATTTCCTTGATGTCAGCCATAATATCCCTGTTTATCTCTAATTTTATTAATTTGGATATATCTCTGTCCTTTGTTTAATTTGGCTAAAGATTTGTGAACCTTGTCCACTTTCTCAAAGAATCAACTCTTTGTTTTATAGATCTTTGTAGTCTTCTGGTTTTTCTAGAGTTTTCAAGTATGATATGAAGTTATTAATGTGAGATTTCTCCCTTTTAAAAAATATAGGCAGTTTGTGCTATGAGCTTGTCTCTTAGACTACTTTTAACCTCTTAATTACCTTTTAACTTTTACCTCTTAACTACCTTTGTTGTGTCCCATAGGTTTGGATATGTTACGTTTTCATTTTCATTCAATTCTAGAAAACTTTTAAATCTTTAAATTTAAAAAAGTTTTATATTTCCTTCTTGGTTTCTGTCTCGATCTAGTTTTTGTCCTGCAGTGAGTTATTTGGCTTCCATGAGCTTGTATACTTTCTGCCATGTCTTCTGATGTTGATATTCAGCTTTAATCTTTGGTGGTCAGATAGGATGCAGGACATTGTCTTAGTTACTGTTCTGTCCCTGTGAAGAGACACCAGGACCTTATAAAACTCTTACAAAAGAAAATATTTAATTTGAGGCTTGCTTACCATTTTAGAGGGTTACTCTGTTATCATTATGGCAAAGAGCATGGTGGGAGACAGACAGGTGTCTTCAGGACAGTATCTGAGAGCAGTAGTGTACATCCTGTCCTGTGTGTAGGCAGCAGGGAGGGAGGAGAGAAAGAGACTGGGCCTGCCATGGGCTTTTGAAATATCAAAACCCACCCCCAGTGACACACCTTCTCAAACAAGGCCACGTTTCCTCAATAGGGCCATTCCTTCTAATCTTTCCCTAAACAGTTGACCTACTAGGGACTAGACATACAAATGTATGAGTCTATGGGGGCCATTCTCATTCAAATCAAGATGGTGTTATTTTAGGGTTTTTTGTTTTTGTTTTTTTTTTGTATCTTTTGACATTTACTTTGTTTCTAATATTTTACCAAATTTGAAGATAGTTCCATTGACAACTGAGAAGAAAGCATATTTCTTATTATTTGTTTGGAATGTTCTACAGATGTGTTAGGTATATTTGATCTATGATGTTATTTAAATCCAGAGTTTTTGGTTTAGTTTCTGTCTAAATGACCTGTTCATTAGTGCAAGTGGTGTACTCAAGTCACCAGCTATCACTGTGTTAAGGTTAATATCTGATTTTGGTTGTAATTTTGTTTCTTTTATGAACTTGGATGCCTTCATGTTTGGTACATGAAAGTTTAGAAATTTAATTTCTTTTTTATTTTTTTATTTTTCTTTTAATGATTTCTGAATGTCCTTCCCTGTCTCTTCTGATTAGTACTGGTTTGAAGTCTATTTTGTAAGATATTAAAATATCTATACCTGTTTGCTTCATGATTCTATTTGCTTGGAAAACCCTTTTCCATCCTCTTATCCTGAGGTGATGTCTGACCTTGGTGGTGACTGTGTTCTTGGTTGCAATAGAAAGATGGGTTTTGTTTTCTAATCCAATCTCTTAATCTGCATCTTTTTATTGAAAAATTAAGATCTTTAATATTAAGAGTTATTAATATAAAGTCATTAATTCCTATTGTTTCGCTGTTCCATTTTTCCTCTTTGGAGAGTTAGCCTTCTCTCCAGACCAAAGCTTTTCTTTTAGAACCTTCTATATAGCTGGTGGACAGACATTGTTCTTAATCATGAAACGTTTTTCTTTCTTCATCAGTTGTGGTTGATAGTTCTGCTGGGTATAGTTGTATGGGCTGCTGTCTGTGTCTTTCAGAATGACGTGGTCTTTTCCCTTTCAGGTTTTAGTATCTTTTCTTTGTCCTGTCCATTTAGTGTTTTGATTATTGTGTGACATGGGGAATTTTTTTTTTACCTGCTTCTGTCTAATTGGTATTCTTTATGTTTCTTTTGCCTTGATAGGCACCTCTTTCTTAAGATTTAGTGAGCTTTTCTTCTTTGATTTTGTTAAAAATATTTGCTGTGTCTTTGACTTGGGTTTTTCCTCTTCCCTCTATACATACTATTTGTATACTTGTTCCTTTCATAGTGTCCAAGAATTCATGATTCATGGATGTTTTTTACTTCTTTTTCTTTTTCTTTTTGAGTGAACATTTTCTTTTGATGAGCTGTTCATTTCTTCTACCTTGCCTTCAAGATCTGTTATTTTGTCTTCCATGTCTTTTAATCTGTTGGGGAGGCTTACCTCTGTTGTTATTCTTTGACCTCCTGAAGAATTAGGAACTGATTACACTAGCCTAAGTACCTATACTGACTTTATTAATGGTCTGTGCAGAGTTGCATTAGCTCCATGGCCACAGATTTAATCCCTGAGTGGGAACTTGCTCATAAACAACCTTTGACCCATTGTATCATTATTCTACACACGACTACATTGTAAACGGTCACCTTTTCTCGTCTAGGTATTGCTTGACCTTGCTAGCTTAATTTTTGAAGAGCAGCAGTCATTAGAAGTGATTCTGAAGAAGATAGCTGCCACCATTATCTCCTTCATGCAGGTGCAGAAGTGCACCATATTCATCGTGGATGAAGACTGCTCTGTGAGTACCGAGGACAACTGGTTTTGCAAGATGGAGACATTCTCGAAAGCACTTTCTGCTTTTCAAACCCAATTTTTGCCTTAGAATTTACCCCCGCTCCAACTGTATATGAGTATTTATGCAAAACCATAAATGCAAGGGTGAAGTGTGTTTGAAGTGGAGTGGTAAGCGTGGCAGGAGCCTTCAGTGCCCTGCCACTGACCATGGATGTCTGTGCTGCCCCTGCCAGTGGCTGCTCTGTCTCAGTGAGGGAAACACCTTGTTATTGCAGTGTGCCAACTGAGCCATCAAGAACGATGGTGCCCTGCTACCTAAAACAGGTAGACTCCCACTCTGAGTATGTTGAGTATAAAATTTTCTTCCTTACCAGAAATTATTTAGAAGCCAGACAGTCTAGATGGGTGGAATTAAAGGTATTTGTAAGTCCTACATCACTTCCCAACAACAGGAAATGACTCACTGTCTAATTCACAGATTTCAGGCCAGTGATCTATATTGTTAGGAAGCTTTTCCCAGTGAGAGAGCTGGAGCTCCCCCCATAGGGATGGTTCTCTCTACTTGAATGCTGTCTGGAGTTTCTGCCTCAGAACACAAGCCTGACCCAGTTTTCCTTCTGCAGACTTTACCCTCCTCACTGTGTGAACCAGTGGAATATTCCTTATGGTGGGAGTTGTGCTTCCTATAGTCTAAGGTTTTTAGCAAAGATGAATACTGCTGTCACTTTAGTGGGTCAGTTACAATTCATTTATGAAAGTTGACATTGCTGGCAGAAGTAGAATAATAAAAGATATTCAGTCATTTGAAAATTTTAATTGGCTTAGATATTAAGATAATTCATTATCCTCTTAATTATTATATGTTAGAATGGATGCATTGATGAGAATAAAGTTCTTATTAATAGTTTACCAAATAAAAATTCACTATACCAACAAGAATCAGTATTTTCATGGAGAGCTACTATTTTATATTTCTATTCAGTTATGATTTAATATAAAATGTTTACAAAATAGTTGTTAGCTTTTTAAAGTTCAGGTCAGAATTCATTAATTTGGTATGCCAACTTATCATTTTCCATTTCTGGCCCACTCTTTAGCTTTTAATTTTTAAACGGTTTCTGTGGAAACAGTCCTTTGTTTTCAAACTTAAATCTCACTTTAGTAGCGGGCAATGAAGTTTTTAATAGGTAACAAGCTGGTTTAGGTCAATGTGACTCTCAGCTTAACAATATGACTAAGAATATGCTCTCTTTAGAAAACATACATTATTGGGTTTGGACAAGAAATTTGTTTAGGTGATACTACAGTTATTTGTGGTTAAAACTACTTCAACATGAGTAAAATTAAAAATGTAAGCCCACCCAAAATGTACTCAGTTCTTCCACTCCTAGATTATACTTTTATTTTCTTATGTTTGTGTTTTCTTCCAATTTCTCTTCATTCATTTGTAAATGCATCATGGAGCAATATAAATTTTATTTTTGGTTATCATGTAAAACTAATTCCTAATATTACTAAGTCTTCATAATTATTCTATTGCTCTTGTAAAAGATTTCCAAATGGTATAGCTCTTTAGGAAAGACTTCTTTGGGCTGGGGAAATAGCTGAGCCAGCAAAGCTCTTTCCTTGAAAACTTAATGACCTGAATTAGGTATAGAAGCCCCATAGCAATGCCAAACATGTTGGTGCAAGCCTGTTATTCCAGTGCTGGGAAGGCAGAGGTGATCCTTAGAGATCGTCTGTCAGTCAGCCAGTCAGCCCGGGTGTGAGCTCCAGGTTAAAGGAGATTGACAACATTCCCGAAGATGACACCAGAGGATGTCTTCTGGCCTCCACACATTCTCTCTTTCTCTGTGTCTCTCTCTTTCTCTCACACATACATGCACACACACACACATATGCACACATACACATATACACACATGAGTACACATGAATATGAACACATGCACGTGAACACACAAACTGGCATATGCATACACTCATAAACACATAGGCACATGAATGCACACATGCACACACTCATAACCACATACACAATCACACACATGCACACTCACACCATACACACATACACTCACATACTCATGAACATACGAGCACATCGACACACACACTTGCACGTGCATGCTCATGAACACACATGCACATGAACACACACACATACACAAGCATATCCATAAAGAAAATGCAGCAATAGTGTATACTCAAAAGGCAGCAGCGGTGTGTACTCAGAAAGCTCTCTACAAGTCAAATGAGAATGCTATGAGCCTTTAGTAACAGAAGGCATCTGTGAGAATGTTGTGTGTTTGTGCTTGGATCCAGTTAGTCAGGAATATGGGAACTGTGTTCAACCAAGTGGCGTCATCAGTGTCACAGAGCAGATGTGTGTGGTGTGGCCGCTTCCATTGCCTCGGCAAACGTCTCAACCTGCGCTGTCCTTCTGTTTCCAGGACTCTTTCTCTAGCGTGTTCCACATGGAGTGTGAGGAGTTAGGAAAATCGTCTGATGCTTTAACAAGGTAAAATGGCTTCTCCGTTTGTCTCTACCACCGGATATTGTGCTGCTAAATAATCGACTTGTTACTCGTTTAAGGCATATAAGGGACGGGCTGTTTTCCCTGGGAAGATAATCTGGTTTCTCAGAATGCTTCCTTTGGAGTTACTATGCAAGAGTTTTCCACTATATATACTGAAGAATTTATTTCTTATAGCAAACAATACTTTAATTAGTACAAGTCTATTGTTTTGTTCTAGTCTATGTTTTTATGAACTCATTCAGTGAACATCCACAAGTATTGTTCTTCAATTACATTTTTGTTGGCATATATGGAAATACCATAGCTTCCTGGCAACCTTTCTCTGTAAATCCATTCTGAGTTGAAATCAGCCGTGAGAATTTACCTAGTAACAGGCAGAGGCGGATGGTCCTCCTCTTAGCAATCTCTGTTACGTCCCTGGCTGGATCAAACCAGATCTACACAGTCAGTTATTTTCTGTAGTGTTTAAATGCGTGCTCACTCTTCTGTTAATTACTCTTACTGTGCTCTTACTGCATTTGGGATGGGGGATGCAGGTGCGGTTATTTCAGTCTAGCAAGTGCTTTCTGGAAGAGCTTGAAGTGGATTTAGGGAAAACTACTAACTGTTCTCACTCATATTATTTTTCACCCACACCTAAAAAACTACATTGTTCTCTTAAGTGCTAGGGTATCCTGAAGAAAAGAAATTCACCAAGACAAGGTGCCAGAAATTCTTAGGCATTTATTATACTTACCATTTCTTAAAAGCTATAGATATAATTTGATTTTGTGAGACTGTAGCTACTTCGTTGCTTTTGTTACTATATATAAATATGAGCAAGCGTGCATTTGTTATTACATATAACTAACTGCCTTTATCGCCATAGGACAAAAATGAATCATGTGATGCTTGTTAAAAAAGAAAAAAAGTCATCTAAGCTTACCTTTTTGTACTTCTGCCATAGCATGTATCCGTATAATTAATTTTTTATATTGACATTTTAATTTTTATTGCAAATTCTTCTAATATCTAGTGCTAGCTGGACAAACCTAGTGTCTTGTGTAATAGTGACCTCTGCTGGTAAATACACATTTTTCAAGCAGCAAAAGCTAAGATTGATGTTTTTTTTTTCGATAAGTCCTCTGTAAAATATTTTACCATTTATAATTATGTACTATCTAAGTCATTTATGAAGTATTTTATAAGGAATGCTAGTGTGATTATTTTAAAAGATGTAAATTCTAACTGATTTTTAAATTAGTATTATGGTAATGGAAACCATTCATTATCAATAGTTTATGTCAGCCTGTTGTTTAGCCTTTATTCTGATGGTGCAGTGAAAGACTGGCTAAAAATATTTAAAATGACTGGGAGGTGGTGACGCACGCCTTTAATCCCAGAGGCAGGCGGATCTCTGTGAGTTCAAGGCCAGCCTAGTCTACAAGAGCTAGTTCCAGGACAGGCACCAAAGCTACAGAGAAACCATGTCTTAAAGAAACAAAAACAAACAAAAAACAAAAAAGCACATAAAAACATGAAAAAAACTTATTTAAAATGATTTTTAATTAAAATTAGATATCTGGCTTAACTTTATGAAAAATGAACTCTAAAAGATGTTTAATAACTTAAGCGTTAAGTTGATATTGATACCTGCTGTTTATTAGTCAATTGTTTTGCTTCTAGCATTGTTTACTTATGGTACAGTGATTTGGTACTCTCTACTTCTCAGTATTAAACACTTCAGTAGTTCAGAACTCATCCATGAGATGAAGTGCCATACACTTTATGTTAATAGTTTAAATCAATCATTTTCATTTCAAGCTCTTACCTATTGATTCAAAATGATGGGTCTTGAGGCTAGGGATGCGACTCAGTTGATAAAGTGCTAGCCAAGCATGCACAAAGCCCCGGGCTTGTCGGACCACACTCCATAAGCCAGGTGTGGTTGCACACAAGCAATTTTTAGCACTCCAGAGATGGAGCTGGTAAGGTGGTAGGATTGTACAGTCACCCTTAGCTCCACAGAGAGTTCAGAGCCAACATGGACTAGAGACCCTGTCTAAAAAAATAGTGGGTAAAAATTCATGGCTGCTTTAGATTATCCTACTTTATATGTTTAAGGAATATATAGATCACAGCTTTGAAATGTTAGATATCAAAATATAAACAACTGTTCTGGTGAACCCTGTCTGTCATCATCAGAATTTTCACATTAGTGGGGGTGAAGTTAGTCGGTTCTTGGGAACTGGCTTATTACTCCAGAGTCCAGAAGTGGGGTACATTTCCAAACGGTGGGCGGTTTTCTTTCTGTGCCGTGATACAGAGTTCATGCTGGGGTTTGTGTTAACCCTTTATTTTAAGTAGATGTTTTAGTCCTATCATTCCATTCAGGTGATTTTAATGTTTTTAAAAATAAATGTGCCTTTTAATTATGTAATGAGAAACTCATAGAGTTGCTCCTTCAAATTCATCTTGGAATATACTATATATATTATATATATATATACATGTGTATACATGTATATATTAACTAGTACTTGCTATTGATTGCTAAATTTGAAAATACAAATATAGTTCAATTGAAGAAAATCTCTAATGCCGAAGTAACTGGTCATCCAGTGGCGGAATGTAGAATATAGTGTAGAACATAGGGTGTCTTTAGTGTTAGGTTTTGCTGTTTACTAACTATTGTGCAAGTTATTCAACCCCTGGTGACTTAGCATCTTCCTCTGTAATGACAGAACCGTAGGAAGGCTCCAAAGAGCCTAATGCACGTAAAATTTCTTCAAAAACCTTCCAAGTAGCCTCTGCAACCGCTGTCCTGGGCATGGTTTTGGTTTACATCAACCTGCACCGTGGACTTCTGAAATTCAGAAAGGCTTGTCTTCCTCAAATTTCCCTGCCCCTGCTTTCTCAGCAATTTTCTGTCATGTAGCTCTGTTAATATCTACTATGCAAATGTTTAAATGTAGGACTTGGCCAGGCCCTTCCAAACGGAGAGGCCAAGACCTTTTTAAATATGTGGGGTTTACTAGGGAGCACACTCTGGGAAAATCAAAGGGAGAATGATATGGGGGGGAGGCTGGTGCAGTGCCACCAGGCCAGCATGACTGTCTTAGCCAGGCTGTGGTCTGCGGAACGGGGGAAAGAACAAAGGAAGGCTGTGTGCTCATGTGTTAGCTGTGAAGTCTAAGGAAAGCCTCGCCAGGCTGTTGGGGAGCCCGCTAGCTCAAGTTTCTTGGCTGTAGAAGGATGGATCTCAGAAGAACCGTCTTGATTTCATGACCTGGTGGGCTTGATCTTGAAACAGCCCTAGGAGGATTGGCCTCGAAAGTGGACTCTAGGGCTCAGGAACTGAGATGTCAGCTGCACGCTCTTCCTACAGCTTAATCTCTAAGGCATTTCTTAAGGCCACCACGATATTGTTATATAAGGGATGACGTCCGTATTCATTGCATTACACTTTGAAAGCCTTCACTATCTATTCTATCTGGCCAAACATTTTTGGCCAGAAACACACACTTTATTATTATTATTTTTCCAGAACATTTATTTTTTTACTAAGATTTTCCCAGAGGACATAACTAACCTTATCGCCACCCCTACCCCCCACGAAGGGCTAGGGCACTCGCTGCTGTAACGCAGATCTGAATGGTTTCAACCTCAACTGTTAAAGAACATTTTCTGCCTGAAATCATAAAAATGTGTAAGTAAAAGAGAAAGAAAGAGAATAAAGGGACCAAACAAGACAGTTTAGACCTGCCAGACTGTCGGTAAAAGCCAGGAACTGACAGACAACATATGAGGGAGGGGCTGTTGGGGTTCATTCTCTTCAGGTGTTCCTCATTTTACAAACACCTTCCACGCATTCATTCACAGACACGTAGCATAAATCTTGCCTTCTGGTGGGCTGTACCAGCAAAATGGCATGAGACATCGGGTCAAACACTTGGCTACAGCTGCTGCTACCCTGCCATCTCTGCACACGAGCTCAGTAATTCACATTTTTCTTGATAATCTGCAGCTATTTAAGGTTTCTTAAACACAGGTAGAATTTGCACATCTCAGCATTGTGTTTTATATTGTTCTTCTTTATTTTTCTACCCCACCGTTCTTTCCTTATTTCTTTTTCCCTTCTTAAAGCCTGGCTAGCTTCGTAAGCGCTTCTGTAATGCCATTTCTTTCTGTAAACGGATCCGTTCGGATACTATCTCCCCATCTTCTCCACACGGTGTGTTTGCCCTGTTACCAGCCGTATTTAGGAAGGTTAGCTTTAGCTGTGAATCATGAACCTGCAAAATTCAAAAAGCTTAAGCAAGAATTCAAAATGGTGTCCACGATATGTACATTGGAAGTTGTACCAATGATCTCAACAGTATGGCCACCTAAATAAGACTTGCATAGTGACACCAGTTGACAGCCAGGATGGGTGGGGAAAATCTCACAAGGTCCCACCCCTAGGTGAAGAACTACAGGCAATTAATGGTTGCTAGTAAAGGGAGACTCTCTCTTCTCCAGGGATAAGCTCCTGATGGGCTATGCAACTCCAAGTGGTCAGCTCTAATATACACGTAGGAGCAGCACTACATGGACTTAGCAGGTTGTATTTGTATACACATATGTATATATGTAGCAACAATAATTAAAGAAGACATCATGGGTTTGAGAGTAGGTGTGGGGGGGACACACAGGAGGAGTTAGACAGGAAAGAAGAGGGTAGAAGTGATGAGACTACAGTACCCATGTAGGAAATTCTCAACAAATTAAAAAGTATAAATTTAAAAAGAATGTATTCTCATTACTTTCTCCCGGCTATGCTCAGAGATAGGCAGTTCGAGGCTGACGTTGTACATTGTCCAAATGGCCGAAGATCTCAGCTGCCTTCTGCCTCACACACCTTGGTTGTGTTCTGTCCATTCAGCAGCAAAGATGGAGCCCTACCTATCACACCCAAGTCTTAAATAGGGGGGGGACTAAGGGGACAAAGCATGTTTGTCAGT